GCCTACTGCTCACACTCCCTGAAGCCGAGCTTTGCAGTGCAATTATTTAGGTTTTGGCCGCGTGGCTCCTCCCACCTCCCATTATATCAGCTACACATTTTTGACATGGAAACCATGCAAAATTTCTGAACTCTTTTGTGAGGGGGAAAATGCCATCTAATTAGACCACATGTGCAGAGAAGCATCTGGCTCAGAGCGCAGCCGTTTACACAGTTCCTTGAGTTGTCGTGGATACAAGCGCATGACCCGCTCAGAGCTGGAACTCTGGGGCACGGATCCAGATGCACTTCTAACGTACTCTGACAGAGAGCAGATGGGCAGATATTTGCTGGGCCAAAAATGCCAAGTCTGCTCCACTCCAGACCCACAATGCCCTCAACGATAATTTTTATCTTGTAAAAGTCCTTCTCATCTGCCCTGGAACCTCAGGCTTTCTCACCCAGGAAACAACTAAACCCGCCAAGATTTCAATCAGAAGAGTCCACAAACTCCAATCCCATTCATGTAATAGTTATAAGAAGTACTGACAATTGATAAAACATTATCCAAATATTAGAAAAATCACTCATTTTGATGCTTTATTTTGGCATTCAATTCAAATGGCATTAATGGAAAAGTGCACATGAATTCCTGCAATTCGTGCGGTGCATTTATTACCTCCTGGCTGGTGAGGCTCGATGCTGTTTTAATTATTAATCAAGTAAAACAAACTTTGCTCTACATATTCATAAGAACTGCTAATAATGATGTCTATTATTGCAGTGACCTCACAGCTTTGAGACACTATTTTCATCTCTTAATATTCTTTCACCTGTATGAATACCTGTTTTATGTTCCAAACCTCTTTTCAGTTTTAATGCTTTAGCTCGAATCAGCTCAGCATTCGGCGAAGGACATCTTCAAGGGAAACAAAGGTGACTCAAATGTCACAATCTCACACCTTTGGCCGAAAAGCCCTGTCCCTCTACACAAGCACTGAACACGCCTTGCAGGAGGCACACGATCCACTATCCATTTTAGAAGACGAATTTCCAGGAAAAAAGATTCCTTGGCTCAGACTCCCTCAGAAAGAACCACAACTTGTCACTACAAGTGCCCCACAGACTCTGAGCATCCTATAGCCCAAGATTTTCTTTACAATTGCTTCATCTGCTGCAACAAGGGGGCAGAAGCGGACAAAGCCAGGTGGATACGCATGAAACAACAGTAAAAGAGAATGCTCACCGCCTGCTCGCTTCCTCTTCAAGGAAGCTGACTACTCCACAGGACTGGAGTACGTTCTTCCCCGTACCACAGGGTACCTTCATCACAGATGCTAGATATTTTCACAGTAGGCATTTCCCACTGAAAACCCAAGAAAGCTGGCTACTGGGGGAAAAGGTACTAAATAACCAACAACGTATTTGCACTGAGAAAAGAGCATTTTGAACTTTCCCCATTAAAGACTAGAACAAGCACTGACTTGAGCTGCCTTTTGAGCTAATTTGATAAGTGCTCTACCTTGGCATCACCGCTTTGACCCAAACGCACATGCAAAAGTGTTACGTAGCTATTTTCGCATTAAAAGAAATAAACGGTAAACCAAACACAATGTCACCAAGTTTCAAGAAATTTAAACACTCTCCTGTAGTAGATCTTTACCAATAATTGCTAGAGCCAAGAACCACACCAGAACACTTCATTAGCGCAGTTACTGTCTGCTACATTGATTACTACATGCGTATTTGTCCATTTTTTGATTTTAGCAGTACAACATTACATTGCTCCAAATGCAAAAAGTTGCTCATTTAAAGAATGAAACTTGCCTGAAAGTGTTCTTAGCTCTGGTAAGGCGATATTTGACATTCAACAGCAATTTAAACTCATTTTTCAGGGTTAAACAAAATACTTAGGAACTTTTAAAGTCATACACAAAAAAAACCCCACACAACACACCCAACTGTATTAAGCGCAAAACTTTCAAGTGCTTAGATTTATACCCCTATATAAATACTTTCAAAGCTTAAAAACAATTCCTAAGGTTCTAAAGAGTTAATCCTTTGCACTGTGGTCACTGTAAATAAGCACAATTTCAGCTCAGCAATATTGCTGTCAGACACAAGGCTTTGCAGGTGTGGGCAATAATTAAAGGTTTCAGCACATCTACCTGGGTGAAGTATTTTTGCCTCCTATTCCAAGGAGGAAGCCCTCTCTGTGGAGAGCAGAAGAGCTCATTAATGAGGCTAATTAGGTGTAAAGGGGGTAGAGTCTGGCATCAGCTGCAGCTTATAGTAGCTAATCATTAAGCTCTGTAATCTCTACCCCAGAGCAGCAGATGATCATGTTCCTAGGTGACTGGTGTTGCTAAGAAAATTTCCAGCACCTGAGTACCTGACCAAATACTTTTTGGTGAGGCTAAAAATTCCCTTAACCCTCCACAGGCCAGACAGCACAGATGACATCATTTCTTCACTCGTCAATTTTCTAGCAATGGATAGCCAAAGAGATCTGAACTTGGCATGAGGTCTATAACGTGATTTATTTCAGAATTTGAAAAAAATAATCAATGCCAGCAACAGTGTATGGAAAGGAAGGCCAATAAATAATGGTCAGTGGAGCAACATGCAAGAAGAACGAGCAATAGTGCTTGAAAGAGTGATCACATACCTCCTAAAGGTTTTTAAAGTTCTCCTTGTAATTTCTTTGCATAAAGTAGTGAAGATAGTTACAATACCACAGGGATGAAAGCCTTGTTAATAAATATGTAAAATAAGGATTTCATTGTACTCATCTAATTTGAAATGAGAAAAAGGACATAATTTCCATGGAGAGAGAATACATAAAAGCAGAGCTCAGTCTGGAACTTGTTTTGTGAAGTGAACTGCAAGAACGGCAAACTATTCCAGCACCTCAACACGAATTTTTGAGTTGATCAGGCAGAACAGGCCCTGTACTGGCAACCTGCTACTGTCCTTTTTTTTCTCCAATTGAAACAGCAGATGCAAATAAAAAATATTTAGATTCAATACAAATTCAACAAGAAACAGAACGTTTTTCTGCTGCAATTATTTTACTGCCTGATGGTATGGCTTGTAGTAGGTCCTTGAATAACTTGTGAATGAACACCAAAGCAAAACCTCTTAAGCATCTTAGTTACAACTCTTGAGTTATTAAAAGCGGTACATTTCAAAAGGTGCATTTTCATACTGACCAAGAAACTAAGCTGCAATCTTGTATAGGTCACCAGATTGCAAACATGATTAAATCAGCATATTTAGCTGACCCTTATGCCACTGGAATGAAAAAAACCACCTCACCTCAGTTTCCTCTGTTTCTGTTTACTAACCAAAATGCTTAAGGATTAGAAAGAAAAATGCCTTGCACAACCAGAAAGATGAGCAAGTACCACAGAGGCAATAAAGGCTCAAGTGTATTTAATACAAACTCCCTTGTCTCCACGTTACCTGTGGACTTGGAGATGCACAGACTGAACAACGTGAGCTGCTCCGGGGTGGCACTGGCTCTCATTGTCATCAGGGACAGGGATGCATGCATCAACACAAGCTACACTGGTAATCCAAGACTCCTCTGAACAGCAATAGGAAAAAAAAAATCTCCAATAATAATTTGCACTTCCTCTTACAGCCATACAGAAGTCAGTTGAACTGGATGATAAAAATGCTTCGTAGCTAGCATCATATTATTTAATAATTCTGCAGATAATTGATAAGACAAACCCACATTGGGTAACACAGGTTCTTACAAAAGCCTTGAGATAAGCTCCCTTCCCCAGTGAACACACTGGAGCTTTAGCTCCTTCTGCTCTAGAATGACACGTGCACTAGAAGTCTTCGGACGGGTACAGAAAGCGCTCAATGCCGAAGGTGCAGCACAGTTTCTTAAATAGAAACATCATCTCTTCTGAAAGTCGGCTGTTACCAAAATACCTCAGAAGGCCTGAAACAGAGAAGGGATGGGAGAGCCTTGTCCACTCAGCACCTGAAAAGTTCTTGCTTTTTCTTTTCCCCTTTACTTTATGACAAGTTAGAAAATTCCCTAGCAACCTCTCATTTCCAGTGGTCAATACCAAAATATTGGATAAAGAAAAAAAAAAAATGACAAGAGAAAAGCTGAAAACCATAGTTTCAGAACACACGGGCCAGAACTGATCATATAAAAATGTCCATCTGCCTGGTGTTGTTTCCAACATATCATAAGCAGATGTTCAGGAAAGACCAGGAAGGCAGAAAGCCCGAACGTTATTTCTCCCCTCAGACTCTCAGTCCGAGATCTTAATCTCAAGAAATTTACAGTCTGCTGTTGCTTGTGTATTAAATAAACCTGAAGACAGTAGAGGCCTCTCCCAAGTACCTCTCCAACCTTCTCCAAAACCAATACAAACTTCCTCAGCACCATTTGATAAGGTGCTTGGCAGGATTACTGCCCGCTGCACAAAGAACAGCTCCTCATTTATTCCAAACTTTTGCTGTTACAAATCTCACTTGATTGCCCATGGGTTTTTAATACCGGAAGAGACAATGCGAAGTCACTCCCTATCTTCCTCCTCCAAATTGCCAGGAAGAGGTTCTCCTGTAAATAACACTACAAAATTCTCTGCCATTCCCAGTATCTCTGGTATTCAAGTAACCAGATCAGACATTTTAGGAGGGAAAACATGCAATGACATCTGTAATCAAGAGGTAAGTGAGTTCAGCAATCGGGGAAAGTACATACAAGCGTCTGAATTAAACACAGGAAGGGGCAAAACAGAACCATACTGCATTTTAGTCAACGGTAACAAACTTTGTTTCCCTAAAGTCTAACTCACCACCACGATCACATACATCCCAAGGCTGGTCTGCAGAGACAAGAACTGTTCAGAGGAGTGATTCCAAGATTTGGCACTATTTCTGCATTGTTGTACCGTTCCTGACAAGTGCTCCATTGTTTCCTAGCCATGTACACACTTCATTTCAGTAATTAGCTGTCAGAGCGGGCCCAACAGCAACTTCGTATTGTCTGCTCAAATCGCATTAACGAAATGCAATCCACTCCAACGTCCTGAATGCACATCTGTAATTGCGTTAAATAGAGAGGCTGGGGACAGCAGCAAGCTTCAGCTTCTGAGCAGGGCATTATGATCAAGCGCGTTAATCCATTATTTCTTAGGGATTTGACAACCAATTAATATTACAGGGCTTCCTACACAGCACTAAGGACTGATGATCCAGCTTTTGATTTTTTTTTTTTAATTTTTTTTTTTTTTTTAGCATAAAACCTGACTTTTCAGACTCTGGGATATCAAAGTAAAAGCTGTGCATAACATTCGTGAATACAACACCCTTAAAGGCAGTAAAGCAAGAACTGCAGGTTGCAGTTTTATTTAAAGATTCAGCATCTGTATGTTGAAACCTAAATGTAGAATACTCAGTGTATGCACTACACTGAGCATCAGTAAAATTAAATAGAACCCAAGACCTTTATCAAATACATCAGTTTTTAAGACTTCTTATTTGACTATTGGAATCAACATTCCCAAAGAACACAAAATGCAATTGATTACTTCTGGTTGTGAACTGATACTTGTCAGTCAAGTCACTAAACCATTCTCTCCCTTTTCTGTTTCATGCTCTCTGTCAACAAAGACTTTTCCCAAGAAGAGAATTTGGACAAGATGAAAAACAAGAAAAACACTTAAGGGAAATATCCTGTGGGTATAATAGTCTTTAGAAAACTTTCAGGTCAGCTACGACCGCAAAATTGCTATTAAAATTTAATTAAAATTGAGCACAATAAACTATGACAAGATAATGGATGGGAAACGTAGCTTTAGGGCAGAGTGAGGATATCTAGAACTCTGGCTAGATGTGATGCTTTATTTTTGGTTATGTTTGGCAACTATTCCTGAGATTTCTGAAACACATCTTAATTATAATGATCTAGAGAAATTCAGAGCAAAACCATGCCACCTTCATTTCCACACAGCTTTCAGGAATCCAGTACAAGTTACTATCTCTGAGTAACACTTAATGCCAACTAGGATGCTAGTTACTAGGAGTAACGTCAATAACAAGTTTTACACTTTTAGGATCAACAACATATATGTATGTATGTACAAAACAGGCATATAGTTACTCACGTGAGAGCTGCTACAGAATTTATTACATAAATCATAAAACTAAATACTGCATCAGAAATTATTCAAGAGAGTGCTACTCTTGGACACAAAAGTAACCTTTAAGGAGTTAAAATGTCCTCAACTACAAGTCAAGTTGAAACTTATTTAATTAGGTTCTGTATTTGAAAAAATGAAATAAATTCTTTCATTAACTAAACCAAACTCCCTTAAAGGCAACAATATGTTCCCTCTCTGTCAGGACAGAGCGCAATGAAATCTTTATTTTAATTGGGGTTAGCTAAGGGGCCATTTGGCTTCAGATGCTTTGTTTATCAGCCCTAAGCTTTACAGCTTAGCCAGTACTTGAAATATTTTATTACAGAGTGATTTCATTTTAAAAAAAAACCCAAAAAACCCCCAAAAAACCCAAACCAAACCCCAAACCCCCACCACTCTTCCGAGCAGTTTTATACAGAGATAATTTTAAATGTGCATTTTGAAAATTGGAAGTCCAAGTCAAAGGCATCTCGAAAGAAAACACCGATTTCCTTTTGCATTATTGATATAGGTCTCCTTTACAAACACCCTGTTCTAATGGTTTCTGCATCGTGCCCTTCCCTAAGCAACCCAGCAAAGATTCAACTGTAGAACAATGGATCTCTCCGTGGTGATGACTACAGTGAAGCAACCAAACACACCTCCTCTTTGTGGTTTGTCACAACTGCACTTCCTTTGCTGTGCACAACGGTTCAGAGCCCGTCGCATGGTGTGGATTTCCATCTCACAACTAACTTGTGCTGCAGAAACAAGGACGACTTTCAGCAATGCATGAGAATTCAGAGACAGCCCTTTCATAAGGGTGAAAATCACACTTTATATAAAACTCATACAAGGGCACAGCTTAGTGTCCTTTTTTTTCTAGCTTGAACTTTCATATGAAAACGTTGGAGGCTTGGACCTGAAAAGCTTGATCAATTTGATTTTAAAACTAAGAAAATGAATTCTTACTCAGTAGATGACACCTTTTTCCTGCAATAAACTCATTTACAAATATTAGACATCTTCAGTAATACAGTTTCTGAAAATATTATGGAAAACAGCTATTGCAGGAATGGCCAGTGAACAGGACCTCTACAAAAACATAGCCGGGTTCATTCCAAACTGCCACTAAAATTAATGAAATAATCCAGAATAATTTCCTGCTTTGTGAGGTTCAAACTTAGACTGGATTTTGGATTCATTCCTTATTAAACCTCCAAGCCTTAGGAGCGTTCTTAAAACTAAAATAAAATGGAAAAAGAAAAAAAAAAACCACAAACGAAAACTCCAAACCTAATTTCCACAAATGAAATAGAGTATTATATTTTCTTATTCTTTTCTCCTGTGGTATCACTAAAATTTGATCTGTCGGATACTTTTTTTTTCAAAATTACAAAAACTATTTCATATAATCTCTAGTTGTTTCCTGGAGGATATTGGCACTATCTTGCTACAAGTTACATAACACAGCACACTACATGTATTATTCAAGATACATAACCTATGCCAATAGTATTTTATTAAGTCCAGTTTAAAAATATGGTTTTATATTTAAAACAAATTCACTGCCTGTCTTTTGTTTTCAGAAATAAAAGTATTGCTCTGAATCTGAAAGAATAAACCTTAATTCAACCAAAACATTGAATTCTCTGCCTCAGGTTTATGCTACCTTAAAGAAAATATAACAATTTCAAATTAAATTTATTATTCATATTTTTTTTAATTTTTCTCTAGATAGATCTTGCATATCTTCTCTGTACTGTTCCCTTGTGAGAACTACAATAAGATGAGCTGCTTCTGCAACTTCTCAGCAGGTATTTTGAT